GACAGGGCGAGACGGACGGGGCGAGATGGGATGGGGCGAGACGGGACGGAGCGAGACGGACGGGGCGAGACGTAAAGTGCCCCCATGACTAAAAGGAAGCTAAGTGTTTGGTTTTGGGGGGGGGGAAGGGGGTTGGGGGGTGAAGACTGGCCATTTTGAAAACCAAGGGCCGGAAGATCAACCATCTGAAACCAAAAAAAAGGAAGATGCCCACTTTCACATTATCCACATGACACGTCCAGTCTGGACATATGCACAGTAAATATGCAGAGCAAACAGACTGCAGAGCTTGAAGGACGATGAACATGAAGTGGCTGAGAACTGTATGCACGATGTCACTCTTAAAGGCGCACCCTAGCTTCTCAGATGGTACGCCAATAAGCCCATCCAAGCCACAGATACAGTGCCCCATCCCTTTAAGATTCCACAACAAATGAGCACCAACAGCGCTAAATGAATGCATGCGGCTGCTAACGGAAACTAATACTATTCCCAGCAGGGCTTCCAAATAAAGAAATAAACAAACAACGGAGAAGAGTTTCTGTTCAACTCATTAACGGAGAGCGGATTAAGAACAGAGTGACATTTCTGAAAGCATTACGAATCCGTTAGCAAGTCGGGAACAGTGCTGGCTTGTGTCTGATAGCGACTGGTGCAGAGCGATGGAAGCTGGCAGCCAGGAACGCCAAGAGCAATGCCGGGGTGACCATCGGAACCTCACGGATTATCCGGGGGTCGCCGGGGTGACCATCGGAACCTCACAGATTATCCAGGGGTCCTCTGAGACCCCGAAACCCACAAAGGAAGGCCAGGTCCGGCTGATCTGTGGCTGAGCCGCATGCGGGTCTGAGTAACGGCACGACACCTTCAGAGCTGTTCTGGAACCATTCAGAGACAGTCTGTATACCATCTCACCTCATACAAGTTAGACTCCCCTGAATTTTGGCGAGGGGGCCAAGGTAGATGAGCGTGCAGTGCAGTTACCCCATACCTCCAGGGCTGGGGTTCGAATTTCACACCCCCTGTGCCTGCAGAGTTTGTGCGTTCACCCATATTGTACTCTGCCAAAAATGTACAGTTGGGTACACTCTAAATGGCCCATTGTATGAGGCTGTGTGCCTGGAAGACAGACAGATGAGGCAGGACGCCTGACAAGCAATCAAATGGTAATTAAACGCCAACGGGAAGGAGGGCGCTTCCAAAGCAGAGGCCCCCCGTGCCGGAGATGGCCTGACATCAGGCCTCTTCCGATCAACGGTTTTATTGGTCGCTACTGAATTGAACCAAAACCTTCACAGACGCCATTCAGTAACCCCACCCACAGTGGCTATTGAAGCGTCTCATCCCTAATCAATGCTGCTTGATACTGCCAAACCCTGTTTACAGAAGATACTGCACACACCATAATATTTACGGTATGGCCGTAGATGGAGCCAATTAGCCATGAGTTACGGCAGGCCGGCTGCCTTGCACTCTGTATGCGGTAACCGTTCATTAATTACAGGTCCCCCCGTCATCGTAAGCAGCATAAGTACCGTGTGAAAACTTTCAGCTTAGAATCAACAGGTTGGCAATTAGATTACAGAAGCTCTGGCGAGTGGGGGGGGCTCACACAAAAATGGAAAAATGTTGATTAAAGTGTTGAGTTGATATTCGCATCTCACACAGCAGACGGAGGGATAACGCCGGTTTCCTCGCGTGTGGGATCTCTGCGGAAAACCACAAGCGCATTTCATCACCTCTAATTTCCCCTCCCGTGATTTGATTGCGCCGAGTCAAAGGAGACTTTAGCTTATTGTCCACTAATGCAGTCCTGATGTTTTTTTGGCTAATAACGGAGCGCAATCCCATTACATTTTTCGGTGACTGAGCACATTTGCGGCGAGTGTCCCTGCTGGCTGCGCAAGCGTGCGTTTGCTCTATGTGGCAACGGGGAAAAAAAAGAAGATGTTTTGTAGTGTATGCAAAACGACGCGGTCGCCAGCTTAAGCTACAGCACATGGCATCTTCCAGGCCATATCTGCATCCAGCTCTGGTCCGCGCGCTTTCCTGGGGCAGTGGAAAGCTTCAAAACGCACCAAAATATTTTTTTTGACAACGACCGAGAGCTGAAATATTTTTTTTTCTGGGAAGACTGGGGAGATATAGTATGTCCTGTAAATGGACTTGGTGCTTTGATGTATTTCTATCCACTGAAAGCCTTGAGCATTTCTGTTTGGGCCCGGGAAAATGAGAAAAGGCCACCTTCATCCGTTTATCGCTGCCATTCAGAGCAACATAGTCTGGCCTGCAGGTCTGCCCAAGTGAAGATGACGAGAGGCCAGAGGATTCAAAGGACCTAAACCCAAGACCTCAAGGCGAGAAGATGATGGTGAGGCCTTTGACACAACCTACAGCTAAGCGGACGTTGCAGGAAATCTCATGCAAGACAGAAACTCCCCTCCCCCACCACAGAATAACAGATCAGAACAAATAGTCCAGTCTGTTTTAGCTACAACTAACTCTCAGGGTCATTTTTACCCCACTCCCCCCCCCCCCCCCCCCCCCCCCCAGGCCCCCTGCCCTTGCCCCCCAACTGCATTCCGCCAGGGCACAGTGGTTAGTTTACCATCAAGATATAAGCAAGTGAATAACAAACAGCAGAGACTACAAGGCAGTTATGACCAACTTTGGCTCGTGGTCAAAGACAAAGACCTTCACCTTTACCAAGAAGACATCTGGAGGAAACCCAAACCTGAATCTACACTCCCACAAGGAAGGGACACCAAACAAAATCTAATCTTTCACTTGGTGCCGATGAAAAGCAATCCTGATAAGTGAAGCAGCAGGTACCTGCTTATTTAACCACTGAACATCGAAGGCAGAGGCAGGCTGTGGCGGAGGGGGCCGGCTGCTCTCGGCACCATGAGGAACCTGAACACCTCAGCAGAGCGTAGCCACACTTTTCTGGTCACCTTCTCTGCTTGGTGCCCAGACGACAAAGAAGCAGAAATACCAAGAAAATGTCACTCGGAATGCCACGGACGCGGTGTCCGCAAAGGACAGGAACCATACAGCAGGAATTCCTGCCAATTTCCGACCGGTCAAGGGTGCAAGACTTCCGGGACACGGGCGCTGAAAACATCCACAGGGTGTGCAGTACAAGACATTCCGAGACACCGGGAATATTTCCTCTGCGGGACCAGGAACTCAGGGGTCCCTTACACACTGTTAGTTCATCAGCACATGCCCACAGTTTTTTTTTTTGCTCCCCAAAGCTGCAACCTGAAGGATCCAAGTCACACAGACACATTCCTGCTGTCTGAAGTCTCTGCAGACACATGTGGCTGCTGTGTTGACTTGTGACATGAGACTAGGGCTACCCTCTGGGGGTCCATAGATATTTTTTTTTTTTTTAAATACTGCTCCAGAACCTGCAACACCTTTACCCCAGTAAAATGACACCTCAGAGTGATTGACGTTCACTTCTGGGACACGTGGGACAGGAATTCCACATGTCACATACACGTCCTGTTATGTATCTGTTTGGTGTGCAGTGCTTTGGATACATCCAACCGCAATCAACGCGAAACCAAAGCAGTGACCCATGGAGAGACCAAAGAACAGATCTTTCAGATGTTCAGATCTTACATCAACGATCTTTCGTACTCAAGTTCTTCACAAATGATTAACTGGCACCATTCTTCCTTTAATTAAAAGCATCCACCCCCTGCCCAGCTCCAACCCCCCCAAAAGGGGGCCCCGTGTGGACGTCCCGGGACCTTCGGGGGACCTGTGCGGATGACTGAGCCCAGAGGACACGCAGCTGCCTCAGGAGAAGAGGCTGTAAAAAATAAACTAAACCTAAACACTTAGACTGCCTGATATGCTTTATAATATACAGACATTTAAATTCATCTTGGTCTGTCATCCTGACTAACAGGCATAGTGACAGATGGGATGAAATTTAAACAGAAATATTTCAAAGTTTGGTGAAACTGTTCAGACATTTTTCTTCCTTGTGATTCAGTGAGCAGCTGAGACTTGGTTAGATCCCACCCCAATCTGAAGCCACACCCACCGCTGGGGAGGACCGACCAGGACAAACTGGGATGGTTTATCTTTCTCACTATGTGTCTCCAGCCTGCATTTACATTCCACCAGCTCCCTGAACACATCCTCACAACTCGCTCTTTACAGAAAGATGCTATTACTGTGAACAAGCCTTCAGGCAAGAAAACAAACCCCTGACTTTATATCATTTACACACAAAGGCCTTTAAAAAAGACAAATAACCACACTGAACTCTGTCCTAAAACACTGCTTAACTGCTCATCCTGGTGACTCACCTCACTGGGTGCTCAGAAATGTATTAGTTTAGACTGCAGTACAACAAAACAAACCATACTCCTTCCTCTGTTTGCAGAGAGCATTGCCGCAGAATAAGAGTTTGCTGGGAGATCCTCAAGCAGCTGTTATCTTGAGGCTGCCGGAGCTCAGAGCTCAGTCCTTAACCTCTGACCAGCCCGATGGCGACAGGCCACCATGTTTCTTACGTTTTGCGTACATGTTTCATAGGGTGAATCAATACCTGGGCGTTTAATCTATTCAATCTATGAGCTCAAGGACTATAGCACTGTAGTGCAGTATGAGCTGCAAAATCTAAACTAGCCTGTTTCTTTACCACTTAACACTGATGCGTTTTTTTACACTTTGCAGATTACTTACACGAAAACTAAGTGGCAAATATACGTTTGATGGGGAGCGAAGTGTAATTTCCGGCTACTTAATAACAGGGACGTACAAGTTTGTGGGTCTCCGGCAAGTGGCCTGTGTGGTTCATAGGCGTGCCCCGGTTATGATTTAAAAACTAAAATAAAACATGGGGGGGTCTACGTGAGCATTTCAAGGTTCATTAGCCAAAAAGTCAGATGAAATGTTAACAGTGATAACTACTGGAAAGGGGAAGGCCAGCTTCATCCCGCCATCGGTGTGCACACTTCGCCGGTCATCAGCCGTACCTTTTCACCCTGATGATCTGATCCCTCATGGGCTTGATGTCCTGGAAGCTTTGCTGGTTCACCAGGCTGTAGACCAGTATGAAGCCCTGGCCGTTCTTGATATACAGGTCTCGCATGGAGGCGAACTGCTCCGTGCCGGCCGTGTCCAGGATCTCCAGCACCGAGGGCGACGAGTCCACCTCGATCTCCTTGCGGTAGAAGTCCTCGATGGTCGGGTCGTACTTCTCTATGAAGGTGCCGGTGACAAACTGCACGGTGAGGGCGGACTTGCCGACCCCGCCGCTGCCGAGGACCACCACTTTGTACTCACGCATTGCTCCCTAAATGTATATCGGCGATTGCAATACGAGCGCAAATACTAACACTCTCCTATGGACATCGAAACGGGGGGAAATACAGTAATGCATAAAAACACTGTTAGCTGCGACTAGCGTTTCATTTCCCCGGATAATGATTTTAAAAGACGGGCTGACTGGCCGCCTCTGTTTAGCTACAGGAGATAAACAGACAGAACACAAAGAGTCGCAGCCCAGAGACGGACTTCATTGCGGACACCGATCAGTAACTGCACGCCAGGCGACTGCGGCTTCCAGAGACGCGCCGAAAGCAAAGGGAAACGTCCGTAATTTCCAGCTGGTGATGCTTCGTTTAATGGAGTCACCATTCTAAAACATGATAAAAAGCAAAACTTGCTCCAGTGTCAGACGCTCCTATGGAAAAACCGGGAGAAGCCCAAGCGGATTCTTTTAAAAAAGGGGGGGGACTTTTATTTTAAATAAGACTAGCTACAAACGTTTTTTAAGAAGTATTAAAAGTCCTATTTCTGTGTTTCTTTTTCATCCTCCTTTTCATATCCCCGTTCCCTACTCTCACACCAATGTACTCCCAGCCGCCATACTCTCGGGTGGAGACCCACCGCCGCGTAACCAGCCTGCCTCTTCTCGGCTTCCGTACCAAGGCGAAAGATGGCTCCTGCGCCGCATGACAGATGTTCACGGAACCCAATGGCTGCTTCCGTCCGCCGTAAACCTCGCCCACGGCTCCGCACCTAGCGTGCGATGAAACACCCTGCGTAGACTCCGTGGGCTGGATTTCCGTCGGCATGTTGCTGCTGCTGCGATTCGGCAGCCGGGACTGACATCCGCGGAGCCCGCAACCTATCGCGACTGTAGCTTGAGGATGTGTATCTAAGGGGAGGGAAGATGCGCGGATGCTGTTGCTATGGTAACACCACAGCTGCGCCGCCGCTGCACCTGAAATAGGCTGGAATGCCCAGCGCTCCCGCGTGAGTGCAGGGCTGACGGCCCGTTATTTTACTCCTAATCTAAACCACAAAACAAGCATTCAAGTGCTATTTTCCTGTGCTTCATCAGACAGCACATCTTTAACGTCAACGTACTGCGCTAACAAATAGTAACGTGACTATACCATAGTAATGGATAATGAGTGCATCAGATTTATTCTATGTAAAAGCAAGTCTTCCTGTTGAGATGCAAAATATATAAATGGAAAACTAATCTAAGTGTGCATTACCTCGTTTTTATGGTAATCCCAGATGTATTTCTGTATTTACTTTTAGGTTGGTTTATACTTAACCAAGAATCCCAGTATTATATTTTTAATTCTTATATGTTTGCAGACTCAATCAATTCTAAGTATTGATTATATTTTATATAGCAATATTTTAGCTTTTAACAATACACTTGTGTGTTTCAGCACATATGTAAAACACCAGAACTTGTAAAAAAACTGTACTTACCTTACGTTTGGAAGTGTGTAAATGTAACAGTGAAATGATTCATTGAGCTTGATGAGTGATAATCCCTGGAGTTGACACATACCAGTGGTTGCAGTGAACGCCTGTGATGGTGCCCAAAGGCCATTCTTGTGTGCTTCCACTGAAGCTTTGCACCTTTCCACCCTCCTGTCTGTTTTGCTCTTGGCATACTGCCCGTTTGGTCCCCAGCAGTGAGGGTGGTGCCCCCTTGTAGTTTAAAGTAATCCGATATTCTAGCCTCGCTGGGAAAGTTGATCATCAATAATGTCACCAGACCCTCGACAACCTTGTATTATTGTATTTTTATTTGTTTTGTCTTAATAGGTTTTACACCATTTTTGCAAGAACCAAAACATTTTAACTATATAATATATGCACAAATAAAACATGTAAAAATGGTTACATAAAAACTAATAGAATCCAAAAAGGGCTCCTTTAACATTTTTGTCTTTTTTCTTTTTGCCATGTAGATGGACTGTATTACAGATGGAATCAAGTGACACAGCAGTTGAAATATTACACCCGCAGTACTTTTGCAGCTGTTTCGTCTGACACACAGACCATAGCTGCTTCACCATCAGGCTCCTCACCCTGAAGGAACGTGATACTGAACGGCTCCTTGCTTCACAGCCGTCCACCGTTTAGGCCTTGCAACCGAAAGGCTAATGCACCGTGAATGAAGGAGTAATTTCAGTAGACCATGTACAACCCTTTATAGTTTAAGAACTCTGAAACATGAAATCTTAAGAACAATACACTAAAGGTAAGGCAAAGTTTACCGATAAGCCAGGTCTGAGCAGTGCACTGTCTGCTCAGAAAGTGCTTAATCATTTCTCTCACCATCAAATCATTCATCGTCAGTACATTTTTACTCTGCATTCAAAACATTTTGTTATTTTTTAATGACTGGAGACAAGCTTACTGTTGCCTCAGACACATCTTTGTATTATTAGTAACATTCAACACAATTCTTATTGAAATAAGCATTCAGTTTGTGAAGATTTATCGAGAAAGATGTCAACCGAGGACAGATTCACTGATAGTAACAGGTAACAAGTGATAACAGTTACAGTATTAACAAAATCTCAATGTCAACTTTGCCATACCCTACACAATATACAATAATTATATCATCATTGGAACATAGTGCAAACCTAAACGCCGGTGAAACTGTCAAACACTACTTTCACGTGATTATTCGTTTCTGCTGGTTGTTATGGCGCCAGCGATTCCTTATAACATTACTACACGAGTAAGAGAGAGAGTCACTGCTTGGCTATTTTGTAGGTGGGACAGAATATTACCTAAGATACATTTTCATACTAAATGTCATTGGTAAGATCTTACTTAGCTTCTTAAATGAAAAGAAATATATATTGATAAAGAAGAGATTAAATGCTACTCAAATTATTACTGTATATAGTCTTGACGTAACGTAGGAAATGTTCTGATATCTGTTATACAATCTATCGTGGTACAGTGTACTAGGAAAAAGGTCAACTTAACAATAACATCATTTACAAAAATACAGGACTTTAGTCATTGCAACTATAAGTTGCCACGGCAACAACTTAATATTGTTATGAAATACTACCATACTACAGTGAAAAGTACGTCTTTTTAAATTTTTCCTTGTTTTTTGGTAAAATGTTACCTATACAATAAACATTTTTATATAATACAAGCAATTCTAAAGCCTTGCTCGTACTGTAATGCGCTGTCCTGTGTTGGTGACAAGGCGGTGACAAGAAAAAGATCTGGAGGCTTCTGATTGGTAGCTCTCACATTCCATCTCTTGTTACAGACAGACGTCTCACTGGCTGATCGAACAAGACTGGCCTTTTGAAGAACCACCGGCAGAACAAAGCACATCTTAATAAATTACATTCAGTTTAAAATATAATAGGTTACAACATCATTCTATTACTAATATTTAACAAAAATCATGACAAAATATATTTAATCACTTTCCACATCAAAAATTACATTAAAACTGTAACTTTTGTGAAGAAAACAAAAAAAAAATCTTGCTAAATAAAAATGGGAAAAAAACAGAATAGTGCCTTATATATGCTGAACTAAAGGAGTCTCACTGTGGATTGTCTGTGTTAATCAAGCACCATGAAAATATATCATGATTCTGATAGGATTTTTTTCTGTTACATATACACACACACACTCACAGAAAAGAAAACCAGGATATAACGGCTGTAATGTGATGTTATTTGTCTTAAACAGTACTGAATGTGATTTGAAGTTAAAATACACTTTCAGAAATGTACAAAATATATTAGGTAATAATATGGTAGTGGGACTATGTGTTCATGATTAAATGTTAGACCACATCAGGTCATTAAGACGATAGACTGTTACTGTGATACGCTGAACTGAAATACTCTAATGGTCATTACACAAAACGAGCTACATTTGTTTTGAATACATTGCAATGACGGTTAACACTAAGAGACGAATGAATTACAAACATTAAATGCATAACTAGACACGTCCTGTACTCACTCGCTGCTTTCAGTCACTTCTGCCATGTAAACTACATGTACAACATAATGTGAACCACCGCCACGTTACGAAACATCCAACCCAAGTGGGTCTCGATCCGTTTCCTAGACGGTTGCGATAATTATCATTTCATTGGTAATAACATGAGGACTCATCAGTGTGCCTTTAACTGTGAAACTGAATGAAGTGTGACGCGTACATAAGGTTCTGTTTTTAATATCTTAAGAGACTCGTGATATTCCTTTACACTCTTTCGCACATTTTTTTTTTTCGGCAAATAGTCTTTGACACGCTTGTCGTGTGTAACTTTTTAGGCACTTCTACGCTTTCTGAGACGGAGCAGCGTTATCACAGACAGCAGAAGAGCGCCCGCCGTCTCTCCCTGCTCTCCCCCGACGGAAGCTGTCCTGCTTGACAGGGACCATCTGATGCCCTTTAAGGAGCCTGGCCCTGTAGTTCGTGTCACTGCCCCATAGCTCTGGCGCTTAGGCTAGGCACCCCTCCCACAGAGGCCCATGGCGCACCAGACACTGGTACCCCAGTCTACCGTTTGGCGGGATGCTTATTCCAGTCTGCCTGCAGACATCGAGACGCACACGTGTAGCTTGGCGTCTCGCCAGCCCTCCGGCTCGGTTAAGCCCTTGGCACAATACTGGAGGCAAACCACCTGCTGATGGCCACAATACCACCTTATCCCTTAAAAAAATAAAACACTTTTTTTTTTTTGGCTCAAGGAGATGCTCTTCCAAAGCTGTGATGCAGGCCTGTTGTAGCTCAGGCAAAATGACATCTGGGGGGGGGGGCAATTTACGAGCCGGTGCCCACCATCAGCATGTCTCAGACTCGCACTTCAGCTTTTATTTGGCAGTGCGCACTCCAGTGGTGGCTAGCAGTAGCGCAGCTCTGCTGAGGAGAGGTACGGGAAATACCTTCGCCGCCTCTTGCAGGAGCGTAAAGGAGCCAGGAGGGGGAGCAGTGACACCACAGTAAAGCAGCCAACCACCAGATAAATACCAGGGTATCTACTATGACATTCAGGGTTTTAAGAAATAAGAATGAAAGGAGTGCTCTATCCCTTCAGCCTGACTCACGAGTCAAGTGCAACGAATGAACATCTAGGACGTCACCACAAAGGGCATTACAGTCCTTGTTTTTCCTGTTCAAAACCATCTGCAGCTTAACACAAAGCACTTTTTTTGTATTTTTTTCTTTCTTTCCCCGACAGTGCAAATCAGGTGTTTCCCAGGGATGAAGTTTGTGCAGAGTTTTAAAAACAACCCCCAAATAAGAATGTATCCCACAATATTTAGAGAACATCTGCAAACAATCATTAAGATGAATCTTCACCTTCATCCATATAATGTATGTACATCATCTTTTTTGACTGTATCATTTACATGTCAATAATTTTCCTAGCAATACATATACATAATTTGTATATATTACAACAGCACTCAATGTTACAATTAATGATTCATCCTTATTTGTTATATGCTTAGCATGCAGGTTGCTGTAGCTCTAGTGAAGATGAAAGGTAGTATTTACAGAAGGACTGCCTGGAGCTTCTTAGTGCAGCATCTGGACAATCCGCTCCTTTCTGGATCGTTATTTCAGGATGATCTGTGTTGGAGAGGTAAGACACCGGGAGAGGGAAGTTAGTCAGGGCAGCAGCTGGGGAGAAGGACAGTGTGGCATGTGATGCCGTGGAGGTTGGCAGGGCAACGAGGGCGGGCAATAGGAGGGGTGCCGTGATATGAGATGCAACTCAAAGCTGAGATGGCGATAAGTACGCCTGCCTCGTCTCCTGCTTGGGAGAGACGCGACTGGCCCCGTTTGGGAGAAATCTGTCTGCGGACAGTGAGGGGAGGCATGTAGAAACGGAGGAGGACAAAAGGAGCAGCCGCCGCTCGTCGATTTGTGTCTCTGATGCCT